CAGTAAATACACAAATACACACCAACACGGTCTCATGGTAGTTTGTGAAACAGTCACCAAATGCAATCTATTAGTTTCCTGCACAGGGACATGAATTGTCCGTTTTCTACGTGTCCCTCGGCACAACTTTTTTTTCGAGACGAAAATACGTTAAAAAAGAAAATGTAGGCAACGAAACCACTTAGTTAGGTTGGTAAAAAACATCTAGGATGGGCTCAAAATAACTATTAAGTTAGGTTTAGACAAAACCAACAGTCAGGTTTAGACAAAACCAACAGTTAGGTTTAGACAAAAAAAACCCTGAACAGTTAGGTCTGGTCAGCAAAAAGTACGTCGCTTGCTCTGACTGTTGCTTAGTCACGTGGAAGCATTTAATAAGAATCCTCATTGACTTATTGACATTATTTTCGTGCTGAGCGACACCAAACCAGTCGATTGCGTTTCATGACTATTTCACAAACTGCCACGATACTGGGCTGGACACACACATAGACAACCACAAACACAGAATCACATTCAAGTGCACCATAACTACACCATCATCCAGGGATCCAAGGAGTTCATGTGTGCGTATGATAACAGGAGTTGAATATGCAGCAGGATTGAATGTAAATCACGTCGTTATTTCTTTCACTACTTGAATAATCGTCATGGAGTTGGGCTGGGACGGGTAATGCCTGAGGGACACTGGTCCCTCTCCACCCTTTCTGGGAATGGGCTCGTGGTCTGGATGAGTTTGGAATGAAAGCCTTTCTCTACTAACTCGGAGCTATGTTGGGCTGCTTTGGACCGGAGCCTCGACAGTGATCTATCCCCGGAGCCGCTGAAGTGGAATCATTTTCATCACGGCCTCGTCCTCTCTACGGGGCTCCATCTCTGCGTGAGATTTCTAAGCGTCATCATTTTATTACACACAGTTTACTTTGGAGATTTCTAAGACAGAGGCACCAGTGTGAGTCAGAAATCATTGAATTGAACTCTCCAGCATAGCGCCGACCCCGTGGATGGCAGGGAGCCCTTCTCTGTTATACACTCACAGCCCTCCCAGCGCGTCCGCCTGTTTGGATTCTGCTCCTCCCTTTCCACGATCTCTGTCCAAAAGTGTCACTCAGCTCGAAGTTGAGCAGCAAGTGCATTCACGTAATACACGAAACACGCACAAAAATGCCAACTGTTGCAAGTCTATAAAGCATCTGCGCCTCGGAGAAACTACTTCAGTGAAACTGGCGGTGTGATGGGTATTAACTCTTACTTTGACATTTTGTGAAACACCCAAATTTTCTTTCCTGCAAAGTAACTGAGAAGATTGATACGACTCTCCACATTGTCTGAGCGATAAATATGCTACCGCTAGCAGCCGGTTAGCTTAGCTTATCACAAAGGGAAAGAACTTGCCCTGGTCCTGTCCAAAGGTTGAAAGAAAAGCTCACTAATTCTAACATTATATCTCATATGATGTTCCAGTCTTGGTTACCTTTGGACAGAGACAGGCTAGCTGTCACCCCGACACATTCTCACTCCCAACTAGGGATGGGTATCATTTGGGTTTTTCCCGATACCGGTGCAAAAACGATACTTTTAAAACGATACCAGTGCCTAAACGGTGCCTGAACCGATACTTTTTTCTTCAAATTGAACAATATATTAACTGTTTAAAGTATACCATAAATAAATACAAAACACTTGGCTTCAAACTACAGCTTTAAACTTTTTAACTTCAAACTATGAACAATATATTAACTGTTAACAGTTTACAGTATACTTAAATAAATACAAAACTCACACACACTCTGTACACACACTACAGCTTCAAACTTCAGCAATTATTTTGCAGAAATATGAGCATATTTGCCTTCTCTTGCAAAATACGACCTCTCCTGACTTATTTTATTTGATTTAACCAGTTGGTGGCGCTAATGCGCCAATTCGTTGTTTGCCAACCGCCACTACACCTCAAAGAAGAAGAAGAAGGTTTCGCGTGCCTGTGCATGTTAGCGCTAAGTACCCGGATGTCGATGGAGGAAGTCAGTAGCCTGCCAGCTGTATGACAGATCTCGTTCTCGTTTTTAGTTGTTTTTTTTATAAATCATGGCCGAAGCTTCGTCAGAATGATGGAGGGGTTTGTTTCTAAGCGCGCACGGCTCGTCCGGTTGTAATAATACTATGAGTGAGGAGCGGAGGACCGATGCTATCGTTAGCATCGGTCCTAGGACGAGCTAACCTAGGACGGAGTCATCAGAGTAGTGTAAAAAAAGTATTTCAATCGGCTCAGGCAGCGAAAGGAAGCACCGAAATGTGCGTTGCATTTCGGTCCGGTAGATACCGGTCGTATAGGTACCGGTGCCATGCCGGCACCGGTTTTCGGTACCCAACCCTACTCCCAACTAGTCAAATACCGACACAACACTTCAAACTTCGTTCCCCTCTATGATCAGTTTTGGTCACGTCAGGGACGACTCGTATCACATGATTGGCTCCCACTGGTTGTTTATATCTATGACTACGAGTGTCTTTTCAAAATAAAATTCACAGGAAGCGAGGCTTAGGCAACAGAACCCTCTTAGTTAGGTTCAGGGAGAGAGGTGGTTGGTTGACACTTAACAACATAACAAATGACTCACGCGAGTCTCATGACTCACAACTCTTGTAATGATGTGACAAAATGTCAACATTAACGTAAAACGACCCCATGCGGCATCCTCATCACCAGTGGATCTAGCAGGTCTGTGAAGTGTTTGATGGGTCGATGTCCTAACATGTGGTTTATCAGGTATTTACTGTACTGCTATGAGAGCGGTAGCAAGCCGTTACTTTAAACTCTGACTCTCTGACACTAGGAAAGTCTGCCTTATCAACGCACAGATATTTATGAAAAATAGATAAAACTTAAGTTTTTTCTGACACTATAAGTTCGTCAACCACATCATTTACAACCTCAGTTTAATGGAGATTGTTTGGAGTTTCGATAGCTTCTTCCGTGCGCGCTGTGATTACTCCACCGCTGACTGACATGTCTGTCTCCACTCTTCACTCTGCTTCATGGACACACAAATATACAAAACCCATGCATCAAAGCCCGGCGCTCATTAGCACGTGGACGGCCCTGCAGATGCTTCGCTCTGGGATAGAGGCTTCTCTGTATGTGTATGTTTGCATGACGCAAAATAGAATTATTATTATTTGTTTTCCATCCTAGACCTCTTGACTTGACCAGAGAGGAGGAGATTCTAAAGACGTCAACAAAACTTCACACATGCAGGGAGAACATTCGAGCAGAGGCAGCTTTATTAGGGGTATCCATGACACTCCCACGGCGCTCTGGAAGCTCCTCCACATTACTCCAGGGCAGCGGCAGGTTAATGGCAGCCAGGTGGAGCCTCCCTGCGTTTCCTCCGATCCAGCGGCGCGTGATTGACAGTGAATCGTGAGTGAATCACTTCCCAGAATCAAGGGGCGGGACGGAAAACACCAGGATTCCAGAGCAACAGCTGCTTTTTCTTGGCCCACAACAGAGAGAGAGCATTTCCACTCACCTGAGACTGCTCTTTGATTGGAACGTGTGGATGTATGTGCACTGGTGTGTGTCTGGCTTTTCTCTCTGCTTGTTTGTGGTTAACTCTATCTAATGGGTAAATAGTATCGCAAGTCACCCGATGCTCCCAGATGTTGTGTTTTTATTTAAGTGCACGCACTTAAACAAGGGCAGGTGAAGGGAAAGGTTGCTGTGTATGTGGAGGCCTGTTTAGTATCGCTGGTGGAATGGTGTCATTTTTAAAAAGTCATCCAAAGACCAAGTGCAAAAATGTTCTATTTTGATTAATGTATAAATCCTTTTGCTTGGAAATAATTATAATTTATTCATCCTCTTACAAATGAAAAGTTGAATCGCTATGAATGCTAGCATAGCATAAGTAAAGAAATATTACAAAGTCAGCAACAACTGACTCAGTAATGTAACTTACATACAATAATGAATAAAAGACAGATCTTATAAACAAAGTGAATGTATTACTTCTGGGTGGATTTAAGTGTTAATGAGGATTTAGACGTCACGTTTTCTGTGATAATTGTTTCTTTTCTTTGAACAGACTTCTGTTTTTCTTACAGTCTTTGTTAAAAACCTACGGCTACCTAACTTCTGTTTTATGCTATTTCATCTCTTGTTATTTAGTGTTTTCATTATTTTGTATTTGTTTCAGCTGTCATGTCATTATCTGGGTCACGTGATGGCCTCCCATAGGTCGTGTGGGGCCACACCCGTCTTTTTGTTTTTGTTAAAAGCCCCGACAAACACCTGCAGCGTCAGAAACATGTTGGCTCTTTTAATGGCTTTAGCTTCTTAATAAAGGCTTTTTAATACCTGTTAAAGGTTTGCTAACACAAAGCTTGCTAACATTAGCTGCTGGACATATCTCGTGATGTAATGTGTATTAAACTGAACAATGGTGCGTTTTATTGCTCAACTTTGAATCCGTAGAATTATATTTATTACCTCGAAAGTTACAAAGTGTCACTTTAATTAACATAGAAACGAAGATAAACACAACAAATCGGTTTGTTATATTTGATGCAAAATTCCATGTTTGAAATACATGGAATTCAAATCTAATATATCGACTACATGTGAAACAGATGTTCCGTTCTGTCTGGACTTAAACCAGCTTTCAACATCTCTGCTCTCACTCTCTTCAGCGAGAGCAGTTCTACTTCTCTTCTTTCTTTCTTTTTAAATTCCTCAACATAAAGCATGAATAGTTCTCCAGCAACAAAGAAACTCACTCATGCGCAGACGCACTGATTTATTATCGCACATCTAGGAGCATGAACGTCACCGGGACTCTGATTCTGCGTTAGCGGAGCTCGGGGGGATCAAGTTCTCATTTTCAAAGTCTGAAGTTGTGCTCACGTAATTCAGACGTCTGCGTCTATAACACGCAGCGCGCTCCTTCATGTCGGAGCTGTGATGTTAACTGCTTGGCAAAAGAACATGACACCCAGGGTGACAGAGGGATTACTGGTTCTATATTTAGTGTTTATGTACATGGATATTGGCAGGACAACTCTGTACATGTGACACACACACACACACACACACATACACGTACGCACGCACACACACGCACAGCGATACAGTGATAATAACACAGATCTCCAGCACAGAACACGTTTTACAAGATGAGCTCTAGAGCAAACACTGGCTGAGATACAGAAGGGAATGTCCAAACTATGACAACTTCCTCGTAAAACTGGAATTTCCTGGTAACAGTTATTATTGTCATCGATAAAAACAAAACAAAAAGAGAGACGAAAAGTATAAAATAATTTAAATTCCTCCTAAAACATGTAGTGAATAATGCAGTGAGAGATCTATACAATGCGGGCGGCTGCTGCATCTCCTCCGCCTCGTCGTCATTTGAAAACGCACAAATATGACAGTCGAGAGCAAACGTCATGCAGCGGGCAAAGAGCGATGATCTTCTCTTTATGTTCTGCCTCCCCAGAGACGACCGGCCCGGTGACGAAGCAGCTCCCGCCAACGGGCCACCGGCATGAAATGTAAACATAAATATACAGGTTGATATCTCTCTCTACAAACAGTTCAGTCACTGCCACAGGCCCCGTGCGCTTGTGTGAGTAGTCAGTCTGTATACACTCCTTAGTAGAATATCACTTAGAGTTAAATAAACTTATTTAATATATATATTTATAATAGATTTATTCTTTGCAGAGTCATTTAGCAGTATTTCCTTGTTTTCACCAGTTTGCTCTGGTATTTCACCGAGTGTCCACTGTGTCCCACCACGTAAACGTCCAGCAGGTAGGTCTTCCCCGCCTCCAGACCCATGATGGTCTCCGTGGTCACCGCTTTCTGCAGGTTCGGGCTGTGGAAGTACTTGCACAGGACCTTCTCCGACTTCCTGCGGGTCTCCGGCCCGGCACACTGGTTCTGCTCCCGGCGTCGCTGCTCCTCGCCGTAATTCTCAGCCACCTCCTTGCGGTAGATGCAGTATTTGTTGCGGTCCTGCGTGCCCAGCCAGGCCACAGTGGAGGAGGAGCAGGTGCGCAGCTTGTCGAAGGCCTTGATGCGTGTATCCTCCGGGAGCGACGGGAAGGGCTGCTTGCTGCTGGGTCGTGTGGTGGCGAGGACCTTCAGAGTGGAGGCCCCTTTCCTGCTTCCTCGCAGACGGATCAGGTACTTGGCTTTAGGCTTCCCCCGCAGCTGGAACTGCCGAACCCCCTCCACGTTCTGGGAGAGCAGCAACTTGCCGTCGCGCCGCACCTGCACCTGCACGGCGTCAAGACACGTGTGGACGAACAGGGTGACCCTCTGGTGGGAGGACACCGGAGCGAAGCGCAGGAACTTGCTGCCCTTCCTCTTGATGAAGACGTCTGACACTTTGCCGTCCTTCAGCTCCACCGTCTTCTGACGGGCTTCCTCTTTAGTTCGGGCGAAGGTTCCCACGTATGCCGTGCTGGTGTTGGTCGCAGAATTCACGGCAAACACGTCAAAGTAGTACTGCGTGTCCGGTTTCAGGTCTGACACGGTGAAGATGTTTTTATTGCCGATACACACCTTCTGAATGTCCAATGCTCTGGGCTTGGCTGTGTACGCCCGGGAGATCTTGTTACTCATGAGGCCGCGGTCTTTGCCGAAACCGTTGTCAGAGGGCACAAAGCCAAAGTGGGCAAAGTCAAATGGGCTGAAGTCTCTGCCGGGCTTTGGAGCCAACATGAAGGCATCGTCCACGCTCATCTTAGCCTCTGCAGCACACATGCTCTTGAAGTTGTGCTCCTTGTTGATCACCACACAATACTGGACGGGCTGGCCCATCAGAAAGCCCGTTGGCGTCGGCTTCCAGACCAGCGTGACCGTGGTCCGGCCCAGTGCCGTCACATCCACTCGGGGGTCGTAGGGCAGCTCCGGGTAGGGCTGGTCCGACTCTGGAGTCGTGGTGGCGTACACCTTGAAGTTGCTGTCTTTCTCTGTGGACAGCATCTCCAGCTGGTAGAGGCCAGAGGGCGTGCTGGTGGCCACGTACGCCTCCACGTCGTTCCCCTTGTAGGTGAAGAGCTCCGTCCCCTCGTCCACGGTCACCTGCTGTTTCTGTTGGTCCAGAGGTTCAGGCTCTCCTGGAGAAACGACAACAACAACAAAAATGCAGTCATGACCTTTACAATGTTTTTCTTCTGTTTCATTTTTTGGCTTTGATGAAAAGTAAATTTCCACCCAATGCCAAAAGTGTTTGATATGTTGACGTCACGACAAAGCTCTGCAGAGCCTCACGGACGATTAGCCCCTCACAGGGGCGGCCATGTTTTCACTCCAAACATCCCCAAAAAGATCACAGACCGGCATTCACTCGGCCTTTCCGGGGAAGCTGTGCTACAAAGAGGCGCCTTGTAGCTTCCACGCGAGAGAGGCGGCCCAAGCATAATATTGTGTTTGTCGACCAGAGTGTGCTCGGTGGTGTACTATGAATTAATGCTCAAAGATCTACTCCCACCAGAGACATTCAGCAAAACAGAGCAGCAAAGACGGGAAGAGGTTTTGCTCAAACACTTCTACCAATGGCTCGACGAGTAATGGGTCCAATTCATAGACTGTATCTAGAAATTGAATGTAGTCACCGTGATGTCCCCCATTGGTTTGTGGACTACGACTTTGAAGCCTCGAGTTTGACATTTTGGCTGTCGGCATCTTGTTTTTTTCGAAACCAGAAGTGACACGAGAGGGTGGAGGGTCGATTTTTCGACGGCCAAAATGTTACGATTAACTTTTGTGAGGTGAAAATACACCGTGAAAGGGTTAAAGTTGAAAGACGAAAATACGAACAACTCCCAGACCACCTGTCAATCACTGTGTAGCCCCGCCCTAAAGCATCC